TTGCTGGTCCCGGTCTGGTGCGGGCGCGACACTGAGGGTTGCAATCCGTTGCCGGACACGAAAAAAGACAAAAAGGAAAAAAAAAAAAAAAGAAGATATGAGAAAAAAGTTTTGTTTGTTTTTTTTAATAGCTATATATGGTAACCTCAAATTAATATTAGAGTATATTATAAAAATTTGTTAGCAAAATATTGTATTTCGCTCAGTTTTATGTGCCTAAATATTATAGGATACTGTGTGTTTGTGGATAGTTTTACAAAAGCTGGACTAATTAAAGCTAAATGAAGAGAATGAATAGTATATTAGAAATCTGTGTAGATTAAGGTTTATTCCCCTAAATTATTTAGGAGAAGTGTTGATAGCAGGGCCATTGTCAACCTATAGCAAACATTACCCAAGAGATAAGGTCAGCGTTGTTATTCACAGCTGCTTCTTATTTAGTTTAGCTATTGCTGAGTCTGTCTGATTTATTTTTTAGGTGCTGAGGGTGTAAATGGAGGAGAGGAATCTGTAAACCTGAATGATGCAGATGAAGGATTTTCATCAGGGGCTTCCCTCAGCAGTCAGCCAATTGGGACCAAACCATCCTCCTCTTCTCAGAGGGGAAGCTTAAGGAAAGTAGCAACTGGGCGTTCAGCCAAGGATAAAGAAACAGGCTCTGCCATCAAATCCAGTGACAGCCCTCGAGATTCAGTAGTTCGCAAGCAGTATGCACAGCAACCAACTGATATTAGTGTAGATTCAATTGAGCTAACACCGATGAAGAAACACCTGAGTCTGCCTGCAGGCCAGGTGGTGCCAAAAACCAATAGTTTAAGTCTAATCCGGACAGCCAGTGCTTCCTCAAGTAAATCATTTGACTATGTAAATGGCAGTCAAGCGAGTACCAGCATTGGGGTTGGCACTGAGGGAGTTACTAATTTAGCGGCTAACAATGCTAATCGATACTCAACTATCAGTCTACAGGAAGACCGGCTAGGTCAAGCTGGTGAAGGTAAAGAGCTCCTCAGCCCAGGAGCCCCCTTAACCAAGCAGTCTCGATCCCCAAGTTTCAATATGCAGCTAATATCCCAGGTGTAGTTTTGACATCCTCTCTTCTCTTTCTGCTTACCTTTTAAACTGAACATTTCATTGTGCAAGAAGACACTTCATCACACATTGTGAAAATATTGGTCATCATAATCAGATTTGATTTAGTTTAGAGGTGTCTTCGTACTGTATTTTGTATGGAAACAGCAATAAGGTTTTCTTTTCCCTCCTTCCTATATCTTCTCTTCACCTGTTCTTTGTAAATGTGTTTGTGAAGCAGTATAAAATGTTTGCCTTTTCCATGCCTTCCTTTCTTCTTGGGTGATGTGCAATCCATCGTAGGCTGATCGGTCCCATTTCAACACTGTGAGACTGAGGACACGTTAGAGGAAATGGTGTATATGGTCCCTATGAAATGATTCTTTGGATTTTGTTTAAAAACAAAACGGGTTTGTTCTCATAATCTATAGAACTATGAAGATTACTGGATCATATTTTTTTCTCTCTTAACCAGGAGTGCCTCAGAGATTCTGCTACGACTTTGGACTTCTCTGAGTCTGTGCAATCATTTTCTTGAGAAGCATGGGGAAAGGTGGTACACTGCTGCACTTTTTCATTAAAATGAGGGTAGCTCTTTTTTTTCCCCATCTCCCTTATTCCGACGACATAAATGTTCAATGACTGAGGCATTTAAGTTATGACCACGTCCACCGGAGGGTGGGGCTCTTAAATTGTGTAATTGATAATGCACTTTCTCAATGACTCTACAGTCATTATTAAGATGTCTTCCCTCTTCCCCACAAGGGCATAAGGTCATTTCTGTCCTTAAAGTTTGAGCAACTAACAAATCAGAGAATCCAAGGGGCGTGTTCTTTTTTCCAGGAATGATTGACACTTTGGTGCTGGGGTTTTGTGGGGGGAGGGATCGTTTTTGTTTAGCTTGTGTGGGATTGTTTGTGTGAGGGGAGGTTTTGATTGTTTTTCTTCTTTTCCTTTGTGAGCTGATGATGACTGAAGTAGAACAGTACATCTTCAGGTAAAGAGAGGGATTTCTCAGTCCACTTTGTGATGTCAGACAGAGAAACCCTTTCAGCTGCTTTCTAGATGTACCTAAATTCAGTCAAATATTTTGGATTAAGAAACCTGAAGTCTTGATAGATCATGTACTCCAAGGAAATACATCAGGGACAGAAAATTGGCTGAAAACACTGACGCTTCAATGTGACACATTTTTATAGAACATTTCTACCAGGGGGTACTGTCTTGATTTCTCCTACAAGGACCACACTGCCTTTGTGTTTAATGTAATGCAATTTGTGTACCTTCAAATCACATATCTGCAAAGTTTCTCATTTTCTAAAACTTTGGAATCATGCCAGTAAGCTAGATGTTGAATGTATGTAAGTAGCATTCGGTAACTGTTAAGAGACTACAAAAATACATTGTTGGTAAGAAAAAAAAAATTTTTTTTTTTTTAGTTCTAATTTGGTTGGATGAGATTTTATTATAACCCCTTCTGGGTCTCAGAATGTTTGAAAAAGAAAGGACTGTCTTAGGTTTTTGAAAATCAGTGTATTGTGACTTGAGCTGTTAATTTATCCTTCCACAAAATACAACAGAGCTATTAGTGCTTTATACATTTAGACATTTTTACTTTATAATTGTGAAAGAAAAATAGACTGAATTTATAGAAAGCAAGTATTCTCCTAATCAACAAAGTTTAGAATTTATCTCTACCAATTAAAATTGCAATAGATTTTGATAAATAGAACAACCAGAAAAATGCCTAATTTTTTTCACACCTAAAAATCCCCCCACCCCTTTTTGTTTATTGTAAGAGCATTTTTTTCTAAAAAGGGATTTTCTGTTAGAGTTTTTATAAAAACAAGATGCTTGTTTGAATTGGTGGTCTGTAACATTTTTCAACTCATATGAAAATGGAAAACTAGAACCTGAACTAGTATCTGTAACATTGCCAAAGTCCAGGGTAAAGCTAAAAGTTAAGTAGATGATTTATTGATTTGTGTATATATATGTGTGTGTGTGTATATATATATATGGTGTGTATATGTATATATCACAAAGACATTTTAGATATCCCTTATATCTTAACTAAGGGATGTCAGATAAATGAAAATAATTTAAAAGCAGCCAAAATAAATGAAGTGTAAAGGTCTATAACATACTAAGGAAAGCAAAGTATCAGTTATGTAAGGAAAGGAGCATTGCACTTACTTACCAGAGAATAAGATCGTGGCTATAGGGAGGTCAGTCATTTTAGGGGAGAAGTGTGTGGTTTATTTAGGAGGATAAAGGGCTGTTTTTAATTCAACAAATGGTGCATTTATTGGCATCTAAATCTAGCATGATTTCAGTTAAAGCACAAAAGAAATACCAAATAATAACAAATTATAGCAAAATCTGTAGTAAATATAATAAAGGTTTGCTTTGGTTAGAAATATTTTGTTATATCTGAAAAGTTGGTTTTAAAATTTTTTCATGTTAGAGGAGTATCTATCTGTATGTGTGTAAGTATATATTTTATATTTATACATACCCATTAATGTTTCATGAGCCTGTAACACTTGTTTTCCTTTCTTTTAGGTGATGTGATTTGGCCCAAATATTTTATTTAGTTTAAACTTTGCATTCATGATTTTAGAACAGATTTTCTGTGCACGATATAGTTAAAGAGTTTTTGATATTCATTTGCATTATTTATTGGCATTTAAAATAGTTTTGTTTCAGAAGTACAAACAGCTGTTACAAATATATGCTAGCAGTATTCATACTTTATCCTTTAACAATCTTTTGTTTTATACTTCCTCACTTCCACAAAAAATGTCTACCCATCTATGAAAAAGATATTTAGGGAGAAAATACTTGTTTTCTATACTAAAACAGTTTGGTTGATGCCATCTATCCCAGGTTGGATTAGGGAATAAAAAAAAAATCTGAAGGCTCTGGGAAATTAATTAAAAATCGTGTTACTGGAAAGCAATCTAAAATGTAAGGTAAAAAGTTAACACAGAAGCAAGATTTTTCAAAATAAAAATATTTTAAGAAGCTAGGAGGGAAAACGGTAAATCCTGATCCCTACCACCATCCTCACCTTTCCAATTCACTTTTCTGTCCCTATTTATCATAGAATAAGAATTTTTGTGCTAGAAGAGACCCTAGCGATAATCCGTCTAGTCTCCCCCTACACACACACCTCCCAACATTTATCCTCAGGAAACTGAGGCTCAAAGAGGTTGTGACATGATGAAGGACACATAGCTAAAAGCAGAGCCAGAATCAAACTCTCGTCAAATGCATATTAACACCCCACTGCCTCCCATTATGCATACTATGGTAAATTTGGTACATAACACTCTTCATTTCTGCAGTTCCTTTATGGTTCTGGTCTACTGGTTTGAATGCAGCACATTAAGAAAAGTATTAAAGCCAGAAAAAAATGTAGAGTAATAAAAATGGATGGGGAAGTGCTGGAAATGTAGGTATCTATACAGATGTAAGGGAGATAGATACATTATTCTTTATTCTTAATTTATGCCTTTTTTCTGCCATATAACAGTGTATGCTGCCACTTTATAGTTGGTTATATTTGTGGGATTTATTTAAATGCAGGATAAACCCAATGAAATGACTTTGATCAGTGTTTCTAACTATTTTAAAGTAATTTTTGAATCAACCAGCTTTCAGTCACCGAGATGGCAAGTTAACTGTATGGCACAATGGAGTATTTCAAAGTAAAGATTAAGTAAGTTTGATTCCATTAATTTCTTTTCTTTTTTTTTTTAAAGAATCAACCAGCTTTCAGTCACCGAGATGGCAAGTTAACTGTATGGCACAATGGAGTATTTCGAAGTAAAGATTAAGTAAGTTTGATTCCATTAATTTCTTTTCTTTTTTTTTTTAAAAAAAAAGATGACCGGTAAGGGGATCTTAATCCTTGACTTGGTGGTGTCAGCACCATGCTCAGCCCGTGAGCGAACCGGCCATCCCTATGTGGGATCCGAACCCGGGGCCTTGGCGTTATCAGCACCGCACTCTCCTGAGTGAGCCACGGGCCGGCCCCCATTAATTTCTTATGTAGAAAGAGACTGAACTTCACTTGTGCATAGAGCAGATACAAGCAATATTTCCTTATGTAATTGAGAAAGGTTTATAGTGTGAAGCTTATGAGTCCATAATGGAACATGACCATGATATCATTTAAAGTGTATATACCATATAAAATGTCTTAAATCTGGTAGTCTCAGCTATAAGCTCAATATTTCTAACCTGTATTCTCAAATTCCACTTAGTAGCTTTAAATTATAATTATTTATTTAGACACTGGAATACTGAGAATAACTTCTTTCAGATTGTTTTGTTTGCACTACTTTTGTTAATATTTTAATGAAGTGGGGTGTTTTTTCTACCTCACTTTGTGAGGTTTGTTTGGGTCCATTTTTGAGTACTTAAGTTGTTGACAATCAGTTGTCTCATTTAATTTTCTGCATGTTCATTTGTATATATAAAAAAAATAGTATCAGTCTTTAAGAGGAGTATACTATACAGACACTGGCAAGGAGGATCTCTCCATTTCTGACCTTGAATTACAAAGTAAATTTTGTTTTACAGTTTTTATTTTTTGGTTACTTATTTGTTTTTCAGTTTTAAAAAGTTTAATAGGTCATGCCAGTGGTCAGAAAATCTGTAAGAATTTTAGGGCAACTTTTCTATACTGTGGCTATGTACAACAATCTGAACATGAAACTTTTTATCTTTCAAGTTGAATGATTGTTGTCACGACCAAGCTGGTGGAGACACTTATTAATACTTTACTTTTTTAAAAAGTACATTTTAGAAACTAGTTGTCTGAAAACCAACTAGAAATTGAGCTTAAACTCTTAAAAATTAGAATATTTGCCAGATTATAAGATGGAGTGCAGTGTAAAATTGTTAATAGTGCTAATAAAATCATGAGTCACCAGGTTGGTATAATTTTCCATGCAAAGGTGGTCATATTCATAATGTAAGACATAAATTTTAATATTATTTGCATTGTGTGCACCTAATGGGTATGTCATACTGGTACTGAACATACATAGGAAGTACTATTCATAGAGGAGTCGTCACCACCCAACCTCTTGCCATAGGGACACATTCCTTCTAAACCTGACCACACCACAAAATCCTGGTAACTTCAATCTCTTCAGTATTTTTGTAATCTTAGCCATTAGTCTCACGAGAAATATGAGACCACACAAGAGCCAACAATTCAGGATAGAAGTTAACAGAAATCTGGGAATGATATGAAATAACTGGCAGCACGATACAGAAATGTAGTCCTGTGTTTTGCTTCTGGATTGAGAAAATGTATGTATTCATAATGTTCATAAATTAAGGCACATTCAGATGTCTGCTATTATGTTTAATGTAGATTTTACAAAAAAAATAGAATTAAGTGTAAGGTAAAGTATAAATGAGTCTTTTTTTAAAATTGTGTATCTGGAAGTAGGTATAATAAAGAAAACCTTTTATTTTAAAGAAAAATGAATTTAATTGGACAATCCATGCCCAACTACAGAATTGATATCAATCTGGTTTGCTGTACTGTATTTGAGTGTGAACAGCTCAGTGTTAATTATACCAGAGGAAATTGTTTACATCTTCATTGATTACAAAATTTACCAAAGAAAATGTATCAACCAACTATAATTTTTAAAGTACCTAACTGTGAAGAAATGAAGCCCCTTTAACGAAAGATTGCTTTCTAACCCTGGAGGAAATAAATATTAAAAGATTCTTTGATCTGGAAAATAGGTATACAGTAGTTAAAACATTCCATCTGAGGTTTTGTTATATTAGTAAAATGTCAATATTTTACAATTCCAGCAAAAGTACCAGTTAAAGGTTATGTCCAAATATTCCTTGTGATACATTTTCATGTCTCCTTAACTCAAAATAAGGATTCTACCCATCAGTATTGAATTAAAGGGAAATTCCTAAATTGGTATATTGTATGATATTGTATATTTTTAAAATAAAATTGAGGGGAAAATTATAGAAATGTATCTCTGTCAGTGGGCAATGGCAGTTATTTCTAATAAATATAATATTGATTAAACTGGTATAATTCATTTACATAATTTATGTACATGATCACTCTGAGTTTTTATTTTTTCTTTGCAGAAAATCATGACCAGGTTAAAAAAAGTTAAAATACTCATTTTTAAATGTATAGATCACTAAGAACTAAACGTTTTATATAAACTGTTAAATAATTATTTTTTTGAAATCGTGAAATGTAATTTTATGTTAACTGATGTTCCAAACAGATTCTATGTATTATTTTTTCATATCAGGTGGTAGTTTATTGTAATGAATGTATTGACTAGCTATCTTGGAAAGAAAAGATTGGCTTTCTAACAATCACTGATATTGGTATGGATTTTTTTTTAAGTTTTATCATCCAAACTGAATTGACAGATATGCTCTATGCTCCATGTGGCGTTTAAAAATACTCTGTAATAAGTTCATCTACTTTACATTGAATCTTTTTGATTCTTATTCTAAGAATTGTGCTGACTTTACTCAATTTAACTGGATAAGTAAAATGGTTTTTAAAATGCAAAGATTATTTTTCCACTGTTTTTCTCATGATAATCTGGCTCTCCTGAGCTACAATTTCTGAAAGATTTTTAGTACTTTGATATCATGTAGTCTGATCTATCACAATGGACTAGTAAATGGGAAATACTCCACTTTCATATGTTTGTTTCATAAAAGGATATAGAATGCATACGATCAGCTTTTTAACAGCATCAACTAATAGATGGGTATAAACTTCCCTAGTATTCAGAGAATAGTGCTGGTGAAAATTTAAATAGGATGGGCATGTAGAAATTATGATCTCTCGAGTGATGTCCTTTCAACCTAGGACTAGTGAAAACCTTCATTTTTTTTCAGAACTGAAGGATAGATGGGTATAAACTTCCCTAGTATTCAGAGAATAGTGCTGGTGAAAATTTAAATAGGATAGGCATGTAGAAATTATGATCTCTCGAGTGATGTCCTTTCAACCTAGGACTAGTGAAAACCTTCATTTTTTTCAGAACTGAAGGAAAAAAACCGCACATTTAAGATCATATTTGTTGGTGCATGTAAGCCATTATTCTGTCTTACTGAACTGAGTAATGCTGTTGATTGTTGAAATGTGAAATGTAGTCACTATTGACCTTGTAAATATTGCCAGAGATAAAAAAAATATTTTAAGTTATTGTAAATAAAGATGTATAAAAGTCAGTATCAGTCTGCAATGCAGAAACATATCTAGGATGTTAAATATTGTGTTTCTTGAGAGATGTGTAATTTTCCGCTAGATGTATCAAGTTACATTAAGAATGTAAATTTTCTTTTGTACAGTAAAAATACAGCTTTATTTGGCTTTTAACTGGATTTGCCTGAGTTGATTTTATCTCACCTGAATTGTATACCTTAAAATGATACTTTAATTGTATATTTTTCAAAGCATGCCATTTTATTTATGTATATCTGAACTTTTAATTATCACACCCTATTAAATTAAGGCAATATATAAAATTATATGCAACACCATAGAATAAGAAATAACATGAAGGTAGGAGTGAAATTAACATTTAAAATATATGCCAGACATTTCTGTATGTTAATTGTAGGGGCACAAATTTATTTATTTATTTATTTATTTTTATTTTTTAAAGATGACCGGTAAGGGGATCTCAACCCTTGGCTTGGTGTTGTCAGCACCACGCTCAGCCAGTGAGCAAACCGGCCATCCCTATATGGGATCCGAACCCGTGGCCTTGGTGTTATCAGCACCGCACTCTACCGAGTGAGCCATGGGCCGGCCTGGAGGGGCACAAATTTAGCACAGAACTTTAAAAGTGGCCAGATGTAAAGAGAGAAGATAGATTACATGATTTTCTTAGATATCCTTAAGATTAAACAAGTAAGTTTCTCAGGTAAAGCCAAATTGTTTCTAGTACTGAAATGTTAGAAAATTTTATTTCCTAGGTTCTTATAAAGAGGAGCCAACATTATTACAATACCATTTACACTTTTTAGTAATGTATGAAAGTGCCTGTTTCCTCACACCCTCACCATCACTTAGTTCCCTCATCATTAAACATTTTGGTCTTTTCCCACATTGTGTTTTCTAACTTTAGCCTTCTCTTGGAACATGAGTTTAATCAAGGTTGAGCACCAAGCCCTCTTTTCCTTTCCCATTCTTTACACGCATTCCCTAGAAAGATCTCTCTTGTGCCTTTTTTCCTTATGACTGATATTCATTGCTATGAACCTAAGCTTTGTTCTTTACTTCAGACTCAGGCAATACAAAGTACACTGTCTTTTTGATATCTTGTTTACTATGCCTTAATCCAGAGATTAGCTCCAGAAGAAAATGGCTTAAGGCAACTCACCAAGCCTAGGAGTTTTTTTTCTCTTTTGACTTGATATGCATTGTTGAGGAGGGATGAGATTTACCAGTGGACAGTTCCAATTTTTTCCTTTTATTGTAAATGTAATACATACTTGATCTTTTTGAAAACCTTAGAAAATACAGAAAAAGGTGCAATGGGAAAAGTCATTTTCCTTTAACTGTTGTGATACAATTGTGATATATTAATAGGAGAGTGGAGGCACTATTTCTTCACACATACTTCAGGATGTTTTATGGTCCAGAGATTCTTCCTACATGAATTAAATAATAACTAACATTCATTGGGTGCTTAGGATGTGTCTGGAACCACTCTCAACACTTTTAAAGAAAATGCAGTAATTCACTTAATACAGCAGCATCAGATAAGTCCTATTATTCTCCTTTTATAAGAAAAGGAAAGTATATCTGTCCAGAGTCATAGAACAAGTAAGTGGTAGAGCTGAGACTGAACCCAGACACTCAGGCTTGTGGACTTGTACATTTAAACATCATACTGCTTCACTGCAATATTGATTGTTCTCAACAATTAGTATACTTGCCAAACAAGTGCCTTACCCATGAGACCAAGAACCCCATGGGGAATGAGAAGAAAGGGAGGAGGTTGGATCTCAATACAGAAAGGTTACTAATAGGCAAACTAAATCCATGACAGAATCAAACCCTAATATCCTAAGCATCCATAGTTATAAATTAACTTCTATGCATATACAATGGTTCTAGTTGCCTACCATCCTCAGGAGAAATAAGAAAATGGTCTTTCTGTGTTCATATGAGGAACCTCAGTTGAAAAAACCTGATTTAGAGCAAAATAAAGCAGAGGAGACTCCCAAAATATAAAACAATATTTTACACTTTCTCCCTTCCCCCTCCCCACACACAAAAGATGGATGGGAGGACGTCAGTACTTTGTTGGGCTGACTTGCAATTATTTTATGATTTAATGTTATTTTTAAGTACAAGAGAGAGGACAGAGGGCCGGCCCGTGGCTCACTCGGTAGAGTGCGGTGCTGATAACACCAAGGCCACGGGTTCGGATCCTATATAGGGATGGCCGGTTTGCTCACTAGCTGAGCGTGGTGCTGACAACACCAAGCCAAGGGTTGAGATCCCCTTACCGGTCATCTTTTTAAAAAAAATAAAAAATAAAATAAAAAAGAGGACAGAAATATAGTCTCCTGTGTTTAGCACCTCTAAAGGTCTTAATCTGGCCTTTAGTCATAATCCAGATATAATCTGTGGTAATAGCTCTAGTCTTTTTCAAGATGTTACAGCAGAAAGGGGAGGGACTGGCTTCTCCTAAAACCCACTTGAAGGACTAATCTTTTGGCACTTAATCTTAGGGAACAGTGTTAGACACCCATTTGGAATATCCGGCCAGGGCACGCTGACCAGTACAAACAGTTCTGAATCATTGTAAAATTTAACTAAAAACACTATTACATTCAATAAGATTTTTATTTCATTCATTCCAATATTCAGTAGAAGATTCCCCAGATATAGGCTTTCCCCTTTTTCTCAAAGTAATCACGTAATTTTAATAAATCTAGACATTTAATTTATTCACAACTCTTACAAAAATGGCTTTATACACACTGTAAAATTGTATTGAGAATTATTTTCTAAAGCTAGTTACTAATTTTAATTTTCTGTATACATTTTGAAGGCTTACTCTGTCAAATCTTTCACTACCAATTGTGTCATATTGTGTGTGCCTTATGGGGGGCTCCCTACTTCACCATCCCTGGTACGAGAAAATCTTGAAGAAGTAGCTTCTGGCTGCCATATTCTTTTATTCTTAGATACTCAGAGGAATCACTTTTTCTTTCCTAAGCATGAATGAAATGAAATTGACATCTAAAAAATTTCTGGGTATAAATTGTTTGCTGAGGCATCTGTTACTGACATTCTAGATCTTTTGAACCCTTAACAAGTGTGTGTTTAATGCATAGCATCTAAGTCATTTCATATCTGACAAAGAATTTTAATTTCTCATTCTCCCTAGCTGTCTGGTTCTTAGCCATAATTGCACATTAAAATCATCCGGGAAATTAAAAAATTCTGATGACTAGGCCCTATTCAGACACTCTGGGTGGAATCTGGCATCAGGAGTTTTAAAAACTCCCCCAGGTAATTCTCATGTGCAATCAGGATTGAAACTTCAATGTTGTAACAATCTTCTGCACAGTTAAGCTTTCCATCTTCTGTCCAGAACCACTGACTCAATAAGCATTTTTTTCTAAAGAAACAGTAACTGACAGTACAAGAAAAAGGTATCATTAACCCATTCCATAAATATATCCCTCATCCCCCCAAAAGACTCATCTATATCATTGCTTCTATATGTCCTCTCTATTCCCTTACCCAGGCCACTGGACACTATAGGTATCAACACAACTTCATTGACCCCAACCTTAGGCCCCCAACACTTAGAGGTCCTTGAACATCTTGGCCTGTCCACTTTCTCATTCCCTTAAGTTTCTGTTCCAAAGCTTCATCACTGTAAGTACCACTTTCTCAGCTGTTTCAACTCTTTATTTCCTCCATAAAATGGAGACTATCATGCTAGAACATTCTTAATTTCCTGTTCTCCCCTACTACTTCAAAGTTCTGAACTATATCTGCAGCTATCCCCTTGCTGCCTGACTGTCTCAGATGATGAAGTATCTCACTTCATTTCTTTTTTTTTTTTTTTTTTAAAGATGACCGGTAAGGGGATCTTAACCCTTGGCTTGCTGTTGTCAGCACAACGCTCTGCCAGTGAGCGAACCAGCCATCCCTATATGGGATCCGAACCCGTGGCCTTGGTGTTATCAGCACCACACTCTCCTGAGTGAGCCACCGGCCAGCCCCCACACTTCATTTCTTACTTTACTCCCACTCCCTAGGCAACTATATCCAACCGGCTGCAGGATAATAGGATATACCTCAGGCACTTCAAAATTAAGATGCCCCATGCTAAACTCATCTCCTCCTACCCTTTTCCTCTATCAGTAATCTCTCTCTCACAGGACATCCATAAACTGATACCCAACCAAGCCAGAAACCTGGGAATTATATGAGGGTACTTCAAAAAGTTCTCCCTTCTCCCTCACTTCTATATCCAATTCCCCAATCCTGCTGACTTTGCCTATAAAAAAAATTATTTTTTCAAATCTATCCTTTCTACCATTCCTACTACAGCACAAATTCCTGTCCTCATTTCCATATCCAGACTGCTTCAATAGCTTCCTAACTAGACTCCTTGCCCCTTTCAAATTTATCCTCCTTAATGATGACATGAAACACTTGGTTAAATTATTCAGTTGGTTCCATCATAGAGGATAAATTCTATGTTCCTCAGCCTGGCACACAAATCCCTGAGACCTACTTCTCCTACGCTATCTCCTAACGTTCTTACTACACTTAAGGTTTAAGTCACACCAAGCTGCTTTGTACTACCACACCCAATTTGTAAAATTATACTCTTCCTGAAACCCCTTCACCCCCCCCCTTTTTTTTTGCTTTACTAAAGCCTACTTGTCTTTTGAAGTTGGATTGGCCTTTCCTCTGCTCACGTTTCCACCCCCCCCCCCAACTAAGTGGTAATTGTCCTTATAGTTATCTGTACATACTATAGCCTGTTGTACGAAATTATCTGATTCTTTCTACCTAACTGGACTCTAAGTTCCTTAATGGTAAGGGCCATACCTGGGCATTATGTCCCTGGTATAGCTAGGGACTCAAAAGTTTTATTGAATAAAGTGAAGCGAACTGTTCAAAGAAAAAGTCCCAGAGAGAAAATGGATTTTTCAAGGAGCAATAGCATCAATATTAAGCTTTCAATGATACTGGCAAAGACAAAAAGTTAACTGAGCTTCTCAAATTTAGGAACCAATACAAATGTATCTTAACTTGCTTGTAAGAACTACTTGGTCCTGGTTGTTTAATCTAGAGCTCTGACATCTATACAGCTATTTATATTTTAATTTGG